GCAGCTCCTGAAGGAATGATATTACATGGGAGTGACAAGTTATACCCATTATTTCTCAGGCCATTACATTCTAGACCAGCAGAAACTTCCAAATCATCTTTGAAGGCAGCCCCATAAAGAGGAAATTGCAATATAAGTAGTTCTCAACTTGCAACCATTTAATAACCATTTGAAGTTACAACTCCACTGAAAAAGTAACTTGTGACTGTTTTTCACATGACTGTTGCACCATCTTTATGGTCATGTGATCAAAATTCAGATTCCAAGTCTCTGGGGAAGCTGGCAGGAACGATTGTAAATGGCGGTCATCTGATTATGGAGTGCTGCAACTGGTTGTAAGTGTGAATTGGTTGGCAACTGCCCAGATTCTAGACATATGATCATGAGGGTGCTGGGACAGTTGGAACTCTGAGGACCAGTCATAAATGCCATTCAGGGCCATTGTAACTTTGGATGGTCACTGAACAAATATTTGTAAGTCAAGGACTACCTGTAATATCTGGCTAATACATAAAACTTAATTACCTAATACCAGCAATATCTGGCTACAGATTTATTTGATTTTTGTTAAGTCATCCAGAATCAGGTGGCATGTAAGTTTAATAAAATATGATTACACATACAAATTATCTGCCAAGATATGCTTTTGCTCAATTGATCCAAGTACCAAGAATGATATTGATAGGTGAAAGAAATAAGGGAAGTGTATAGAGAAGTTGGAAGGGAGACTTCAGATATTCTTATGTATACTGAGTATTCATGCTCATGTGATGACAAAAGCCATTTCTAAATACTGCATCCATAGAAGAGATGGTCTTGGAACCAACTAAGACAGGAAACAACTCTAAAGTTAATCCTAAGTGATATTCATGATCCAATGCAATATGTTGTGTTACTGATAGGAAACAGCAACGACAATGCTCTGTCATTATATATGCAAGTGGAAATTGAGAACAGACTAAGATATAGTCACATTTGACTACAAAAGGGGAAAATTCTAAAAAATGGGCTAGTGATAAGAGGCTTGACACTCAGATCTCTTGAAATGCCAGAGAACTATCAGGGAGACAGTATTAACACAATTTTTAAAAAGGGACCCAAGGAGATTTGAGAAATTATAGCTTGGCCATTATCTGTTTCAGCAAAACCATCATTCCTATTCAATCACGCTGAAAGAAAATCAACATGGATTCCACAAAGTTAAATTCTGCTTCACTAAGCTTCTGGAGTTTTTTTTTTTTTTTTAAAGATATCAATTAGCACTCGAATGAAGGTGACCTTGTCAATGCTGCATGTTTGAATTTACACAAACATCCTCATCAAACACTCTTAAGTAAACCTTATTATCATAGTATAGGAGGACCGCCTTCTGCCACAGATCACCTCTCACCGGCCGATACCGAGGGTGTCTCTCCCAGAGGAGTCCCACGGCAGTTGGTCTGTCACGGCCAACCGCTGGGGGTCCCCCTCTCGGAAGAGACAACCTCGAGGGTGGGAGACCTTGCTCGACGGGGGTCTCTAGGCCCACTAAGGCCTAGAGGGGAGGAAGGCGGCGCGGGTCAAGACATGGCTGTTTCAGCTGGCAGGACTGGCCTAGGGGTATTTTAAATTGGATTTTAATTAATTTTAAAAACAGAAAAGGCCTATTTAAATATATCTTTTAATTTATTTTAAATTTTGTATATTTGTATAAATTGTTTTGTTTTAACTGGCTGTAAGCCGCCCTGAGTCCACTAGGAGAAGGGCGGGATATAAATACAATAAACTTAAACTTAAACTTAACTTAAGTACTGATTTTAAAAAAGAAAGGAAAAAGGTGGGAATTAAATGAGATTTTTTTTGTCTTTGTGGAGGGAAGTTTGTAAAGAATTTCTTAAGAATTTGTGCTGTTGCATTTTTTTTGCAAACTTGATCAAAAACTGCTTGAGTTAACGGTTAGGTAATGAGGTAGCCAAGTTTGGGGGGGGGTTAAAACTAAAGGTTTTTTTAAAAAAATAATAATACTAGAGTTAGAGTGGAACAATGGCAGGAAAGGGTATGTCTTGCTCTTCTGTTGGAAGCACACCAGAGGCGCTTAGGTAGCCACTACAGTATGAGAAACAATGTCCTGTGCTAAGTTGTTCTTTTTAGTTCCCGATGTTGCTGTGTTCTTTTGTGGTTCTCAAAGGCAGACTGTAACTGCTGGGTAGATGAGTTCTTATGGAAATCTTTAGGCTTATTTTGTCTGTCTGAGCAGGCAGAAGAACCAGTTTCTTTTTCCTAATCTATAGGATAAGAATACATAGCTGACCATGCCACTGCACTTGTGGGTCTTCAAGATCTTACCATACTGACAGGAACAGATTTGCCCACCTCTACCAAAGTGAGCAATAAAACCCATAAGGATCTAAAACCTTTCTTCTCTTATATATAAAAATGACAATGCCAATGGAAGCAGAGAAATATTCTCCTCTCATAAAATGTTTACAATTAATTTGGAGGGAGTGAAAGATTCCAGTACATAAATATTGTGCCTCAAGTTATTTTGAAGGAGACTGTTATATAGCTGTTTTTTTAAAAAAATTTGTTGCAGTTCTTCAGGGAAAAATAAAGGATGCCCGGGGGAAGGGATTACAATAAGGAACAGTGCACTTTTCCCCTAGATTTTCATGTTTCCCTAGGAATGAAATTTTGCTTGCTAGCAGCAGATTACGGGTGGAAATAAGGCACTATTCATCTATGAAAAACAACTTCAGAGGAAGGAAGGGTTCTTCGGAGTAATATGTAGGAGAAGAGATGCCATTAGAAAGTCTTTTTACCTTCCAGAAGTGGGAGCTTCTGATTCTGTGTAGAAGGAAGACTAAAATCCAAATGATGGAGAGAAAGATAGTGCCCATGTGTTTCTTTGAAGGAAGTCACCTTACATGGAGATTCTGTTAAGTAGAAAGATACAAGCAAAGGAATAACATTGCTTTCATGTTCCATTTTTTCCCCTTGATTCACAGGAACTGTTTTTGTTGCTTTTGTTTTATTCCTCTTAATTTCATTTTTAGCTGAATGAAATTTCTGTTGACATAGGTGCTATTTCTGTTGACATATCGTTGCTATGTCTTAGCCTGATTGCTGTTGTGATATCAGCTTTGGATCATTTTTTTTAAACATATAATTGCTTGTACAAGGCAATCGCAGGTCTGTTTAGATTAGGTCTTCAAACTTGGCAACTTTAAGACTTGTGGACTTCAACTGCCAGAATTCCCCAGCTACCGATGTTAAAGTTGCCAAGGTTGCACACCCTTGATTTATCTTTACCTGAGGCAAAGGAAAATGATTAGGTTTGATATTACATAAATGTGCATAACATGCTTTAGGCTTTAAATTAGTAGAAATTGTTCCATACAGATTGATAATCTTGTACAAATTCATATCTGAATATTTGATAGTGGCTAGTATCCAATAGCATGGGCAACTCAAAACATGTAAATTAGTAAGCCATTGCAGACTTAAAAATTTTTTTATCTCACCCTCCATCCTTCCTTAAGTGAAGCTAAAAGTGTTTCCTTGTTTTATTGGTAGTACAAGATACCAGTGATGAAATAGTTTAATCCACATATAAACTTGAACATTCATCTTCACGTCCCAGTTACTTATAGATAGATAAAATGTATTGCCTGTCCAATTGCTATTCCTTGACCAGATTTAGATTCTGGTAGTTTTCAAAAGAGAAATGAATCACAAAGGGGTGATTCCTGGAAAACAATTTTACAGCAAGATTGATTATGGCAGATAGCATAAAAGTGAAAAGATCCTTCCAGTAAGAGGTTTAATCTAGAACTACAAATACTCCTTGAGTTACAACCATAATGGAGTCTTCTCATCACAGCAGTAACCATTTGTAGCAGTCATTAAGCAAATGACTTCAATTGTTGAGCAAACCAATTGTTCACCCTGGGTGCAGTTTTACTGAAAATAAAAATTACTAAAGTAAATGCCAGTTTTTGGAACGAACTACCCCCCGAGATCCGGACGATTCCGGATCTCCTATCTTTTCGCCGCGCCCTCAAGACATGGCTTTTTCAGCAAGCGGGTCTGGCCTAGGGAGAATTTTAAATAGGGACAATTTTAATTGGAATTTTAATTAACACAGCGGTAAATATTTGTTTTTAATTGGTTTTTATCGGGGATAATGTTTGTGTTGTTTTAATATGCTGTGAGCCGCCCTGAGTCCCGTTGGGAGAAGGGCGGCATATAAGTTAAAAATAATAATAATAATAATAATAATAATAACTGCTGGGCGAGGGGAGAACTGTCAGAAGTTCAAATCTGGGTCATAAGTACCCCACAGGTAGATCAGCTAAGCAACCATTTGTAAGTCAAGGACTACTTATATTTAACTTTTTATTGTGCACTATAACAGTTAATTAAGTGTGAGCATCTGTTTCATGAAAATTAAACCCTATGAAATACATAAAAGCATAGCAAATTGCTTTGGGCAGTTCTTACCTATAAAGATCTTCGTCTAACAAATTACTGAGCTTTGCATTTTATTGTATTTTAGATATATTGCCAACCTGACATTTAAGCAGTAATTTACTTATTGTAGTCGACCAGGGGTTGCACACTTGTTCATGGACTGCATATGATGTCTGTTATATTTCTCCGTGTTTATGAGAGAATTAAAGAAAAAAACTGTTATAAGAAGGAAAGCTTTTCTTCTGTGCCCAGTTCATAAATGCAGTTTTCTATTCTTTCTCTTTCAGCAGCATAGGATTTGTTTTAAGCTTAAAGTTCTTAGAGACATCTTTTTGTCAGGGCTTCAAGCTTATATTCAAGAAAATCTTAACATTAAATATGCAGTTAAAATAAAGCTTTTGAAGGTTAATTAAAATCAATATTAATAAAAGAGCCAACCTGTTATAGGACAAGAAGTTGATAAATCTGTTGTTAGATAATTATAATCTTCTTTAATAATTTTATCCACCAGTTATTTCCTAACTTACCGGATATTTTTGTTTCTGTTGTAGCTCCTGTTATTAACAAGTTTAACAGAAGAGTATCAGGTCAGTATTCTTTTATCATATAATTTAAACAGTTTTTCAGTGATGACCTTAATGTATGTGTATTTTTTCAGTGTTGCCAAATAGTAAAGAAAAGATTTTGCTACACTTTGTGTAGCTGCAATTGTTGAAAAAACCAAGAATTGACTTCAGGAAAATAAAGAAAAAAGAAAAATTGCAGCCCTAGGTTGTTTTAGTATGGCTGCTGCTTAACTAATGCAAAGGTTAAAACTAAGTTTTTTGGATAAAAAGCCAAAAAGTCATAATATTGACTAAAATATTCAGGCCTTTCCTTGAGCAAACACGTGAGAGGATAAAATATTTTTAAATTTCCTTCACAGTAAACATGACAGACTGCCTTTGTTTCAAATTTCTGATTTTATTCATTTCTATTGTATTTACCAAGGGTTATATACTGCTCCAATTAAAACAGTGATTGAGTAACTTATATTCCTCAGAACAATATAGGACTAAATTACATCAAACAGAGAACTACAAATAGCACAGCAATAAAATCATAATACTATTACATTGAACAATAAAATAGATTTGCAGTAATACAATAAACTTCACAAAACATATGTTTGAACTGAAAAATATTTGCAATTCATAAGCTTGTACTTTTCTGAAACTCTAATAATGTTAGGCAAAGATAATCACCCCATCAAATTTTGTAACTTTTTAGTACACTGTTTCATTAAGAACTAATTGAAATAACCCTAAATTGTTACCTTTTTCTGAGGCCAAGTACAGTGTAAATTTATATTGAAATTATAGTTAAGTTTTAATGAGGATTTATTCTTAATAAGGCAGAAATAAAGTAATCTATTGTTAATGCTTTTACTATTTATATACTGAATTTTAATCATTAACTTTAAATAATAATAAACTTGAAAAATGTTAAATTCTCCTTGGAGTTGAATTTGATGCCTGGTGATTGCAGGAAATTGTCAACAATCTAGAAGTAGTTTGCCATTGCCATCTTTTGGGATTTTTTGTTGTTGTTTGACATCCCAGTCTAGCCTTTAGCCCTATAACTTGGTTCCAAGTCTATTTATTGACTTTATTCAATATTATCTATTGAAATTAATATTATGAAATTATTAATTTTTATCAGGCTTTATATAATGCAAATTCCTCAAATCTAGGCACTTTGCATTGTGATTTCAGTGTTTTCTAATCCTAGAAAAGCAATATTTTGAAGAAAAGGATACTCATTTTTTTTTTTAAAAAAAAAACCTACCTGAAAGTGATTTTTACTGTGCATCACTACAACCGGGTACCTTAAAACTATCTTAGTTAAGTACCCACGTGTATTAAAACTGAGAAGACATGTAAATAGGGGGCTTAGGGAATTGCTTTGAAGGATAGAAGGAAGAACCACCACATGGCAGTGGTCAGATAAGAAAATCTTGAGCCTGGCCAAGTACATAACTCTCAGACAGGTTCCCCCCTCCCCCCAGTTCCCAAGTAGATGCAATGAGGGAGGGGGAAAGCCTATTCAGATTTATAAGATACTGTTACTATAGTGGTTACAATAAAAGTAGTTCTGGACTATATAGCATTGGTCTACCTTGTTGGGCTGGCATGTAATTATTGAAAGGGTAGCTTTAGTAGAATTCCAGATGTTACTAGAATTGATCCATTAGCCAGAGGCACACAAACTAGGGTAATAACTCTATGGGGTTGTGTGTGTGCAAGCAAATCAGGGTTAAGGGTGGACTTGTACAAGGAAAGGATAGATGACAGAACTTGCTGAAGGGAATGCGCTTGAGGAACCTAAGCTAGGCAAGTCCCAAGCACAACACCATGTTGCAAGTTAAGAAGATCAAAGGAAATCAAGCCATTTACTTGACAGGAAGAAGCACGGTTCAGCCAATTATATAAAAGAGATGACTTGTGCTATTGGCTCTTTGTGGTAAACAGCCTTTAAATTTCCTATCTGTGACTATATACAGTTGTTGAGTTACCTGGAACCTTAGACTGGAAAGATTGTTCTTGGATCTTCTTGAACCTGATATTTGTCTTTCTGGACACTTTTGTGAGAGTTAGTTTTTGTGCCTCTTTGCTGTGCAGAAAGCCTTGAATTTGTGGTATGTTCTGTGGTATGTGGTTATCATGAATTAATATTTGAATTCACTATCACAGGCATGTCAAACTCACGACATCATGTGACGTCACGCAACGTATCGCGATTTTCCCCCCATTGCTGGCAATGGGGTGGGCGCAGTTTTGGTGTGATGCATCTGGCCCGCAGGCTGGCAGTTTGACATGCCTGCCATCAGAAGCTGGCTGTGGACATTTAACTGGTAGTACAAAACAATGTGATTGGAGGAGTTCCAGGCATGCAAGTGCCCTGTAAAGAGCTGGGTGTTTTCTGTGGTATTATGTGAAGAGCATGGCCTAATCCATCACCCGTATCATGATCCGTCTCCACCGTAGTGGCAAGAAAGAAAGGCTAAGCACAAGAGAGGCTAAACACAAGTAGGCAAGGCTGGCCAGTGGTGGAGATTTGGAGCCTGGTGTGCTTCCCTTAAGTATTGATTTGGGGACTTCAAAGTGAGGGTGTAGTTGGCAGCATTCTGGTCCTCACTTCTGTTTTATTTACAGGCTAAGATAAATGTCGAGTTACCCTTTTCCTTCTGCTCTGTCTGGACAAGCCAGCTATCCAAAAAAACCTGCTAAGAACAGGTTTTGACAAAGCCCTGAAGATTTGGATCCCTGTTAAATTGAATTCTGGGCTCCCCTTTGCTTAGGCAGGCCGACACTGATTCTGTTTTGTGCACGCAAGTCATCAGCTTATTCTAATCCATTCACAGGGTGAGGAATACATTCTTGAAGCGCTAGATTGCCCTATTTCATAGTCTCTGCTGCTTTTTACTAATTAACCTACAGAAAATTGGTCAAGGAAATTGCTTTTACATTTTTTAAAGGATCTTTCAAAGAATTGCCTAGCAACAGCATGTTTTTCACAGTTCGCAACTAGGCACAGAACTGAACTTATTGAAGAAAGTGCATTGTAGATTCACTTCAACACAGGTCATGATTAAGAACAAAAAAATATTTTTTGGCAATTGTTTCTAAGCTTTGTAATGTTTGTGCAGAGTACAGACTTTTTGCATTTGACAATGCATCTGCAAAAGAAGTTCAGAAATATGAGAATAAAAATAGCCTACTAACACACACATTGTTGCACTTGGCAACCTCAAGCTAAACAGCATAGCACCCCCATCAGTAATGTGTTGTACATTTTTACACATAATGTACTGTATACAATTTTTAAAAAGTCTTGTTACGAACCTGTTCTCGGAAGTCTGTTGCCTTCTGCATTGTTTCAGGCACTATATTTTTTGTGTTTGGAAAATCTGTTTGCGAATCTTTTTAATTGGAAATGGATCAAAGTACTGCTTTATTGTTAATTTTAATGTGTTTTTATAATTTAGGTCTTTTTTTTACTGTATGCTACATATATAGGTTGATGAATGAAGAAGCATAAATGAGATTAATCCCCCAGGGTGACATCATCACATTCCACTGCATGAATTACCGTCCCTAGATTGTTTATGTGGTAAATTAAAAGTATGTAGGATTACTGTTTGTGGGGAAAAGAATGAGAGAGCAGGAAGCTTTTACATGAATGAATCTCTCTCTTGGAGCTCCAGAGTGTCACAATTTATGATCTCCAGCTGCCACAAAGCAGCAGTCCAATATGATGCTTAATCTCCGAATGTGAACAGATTCTGTCACCCACACACTTCCTCATTCTTCAACTCCTAGTCAGTAGCAGCAGGGATTGAATGTGTGCTCACTGTTTTGTTGGCTGATGCCTTCTCAAAGTATGGTTTGGAGAAATGACAAAAACAAATAAGCCAACTGAGAAACATAGAAACATTTGGAACAATATGTTCCAGACTACGGATAAAATTCTGGAGCATGTGATTTAAACTACTGTATATACAATACTTGAAGTGTATCCTCCCTTTTATCCTGTAACAGAAAAACTTCATATCTGTGGGGACAGTTAATGCTGTATGGATAGAAATTAAATTGTTCGCCAGAGTTTCATTAATTCTATTTCTTTCTTGGTAACAATGGAAAGCATTGTCTTATATTGTAGCAAGGGTGGTAGAGTTCTGCGGAGGCAGGTGAAATGTCTTTCGTGGCAGGTAGGGAAAGATAACTTTTTAATATTTGCATATTCAGAATATATCAGTATAAAGATAATACCCCTATGTATTATGGGTAAGCTAGAAATGTATTTGTCTAATATACTGTTTAAAAAGCACAGTGAATGTACTTTATATATGGCTGCATTTAATAGGGTCATTCCCCAGTTGCAAGATGATTATTTTGTGCAACTTCACTCTGCTCTGTGGGTAAACCAGACCTTATTAGCATTTATATTGACGAAAGCTCAGCTGGCTTTCTGCAAGAGGAGAAATCGACTTTCTAGATATAAGGCATTAAGCATGTGTACACAGGCCTGTTCTTGGAGTGCATATGCACACATACACGTGACTGGTTATGTCTTTTGCAAGCATTTCCAAATGGAGTTTGGATACTTGAAAAAAATAGCAGCTTGATCAAACAGATCAGGATCATCACAAAGCGTTCATGCTTCAAGCAGCCTTTCATCCTTTAAATGCCTGCCTCTGGATGATTTGTTGTGCAGAGAAGACAGATTTATTACTGTTTTTATATGTGTTCATCATGGCAGTGATTTAAACAGAATTGTTTTTGCTTTATAATGAATTTTGCACCAGTGTGAGCTTGTATCTTGATCTGTTTGACAAACAAACTTTACATGTCTTGTTCATAATTTTTTAGGATAAAAGTAGTGTCATGGCAGTAAGAACAATGCAGTATTATTTCTTCTTCTTTCTGCTATACTTTGAAATTTCAGGATTTTTTCCCTCTGTCTCTTTACTCCCTGCTATGTAGCAAAAGGTCAGCTCCCAAACAAAGGATTTTCAGTGATTTAAATATTGTTTGCCTTATTGTTG